TAACTTGTTTTCAATGTGTTTTGGCAAAATCACTTGAGGTTAGTAAGCAGACATTGGTATAAGTATCACCAGAAAAAATGATATTTTGCAGAATGTGTTATACTTTACCCATACAAGATTCTTCTTTGCATGTTTCAAGTGAAAAACACATATGTCAGATTAACAGTGAGAGTGTATTTTTTATAGAAATTTGTAGAAATCATAAAATTATCAGTATTAGAATAAATGAAATATGATAAACAAGATTATCAAGGAAAGGCGGCGTTCAATGAAGGCAGCAAAAATGAAAGTTGATAACGAGATATATATGATAACACATGAATAACCTTTCATCCTACTTTAGGTTATCTTTTAAAAGTGTCATTAATGTTCTTTTCCATTTCTCTTAGAATACATTTAGGTTTATAATTAAAGCTTAGAAGAAGGAATAAGCATATTTAAAAATATTAAAATACCATTTAAACATGCCTACATGGAGAAAATAAGTGCAGGCAGTATAATATTCTTGACTCGGTAGCCATTTTGTCAAGTTTACAACCATTTCGCCCGCCGCTGGAACCAAGTGTGCAACCACTTCACGTCCTGCTAAAATGTAAAAATCAGGTCTTAATATGATTTATTGAATATAATGATTATAATAGCAATCTGTGAATTGAAAAATAATTGTCTACGAAGGTTACGAAGGTTACATGTTTTAACGTTTCAGTCCGTTCTTGTTGAAATTTAATTTGTGTTTTTAATTGTAAGACATAGATTGTATTTAAAATAAGTTTATCTGAAGAAAATAAGAAAGCCTTTCGTTAGTTTTCTTTATTGAAGAAAAACAAGATTTGTAAGTAAAACATGTATGCCCCCTATTGGCAGCCAATTAGTCATGCGATCAGGTTATTATGCATGACTTCTAACCTAGTGAACAAAAAATAATAAGGGTTATATACTGGTCATGACTAGTCACAAGGTAATAATTATTGTGACTGCATAGGTTGTGTGCAGCAATTTAAGTTATTACAATTCTTACCAAATAATATATGCATAAATTTTATGAATCATGTAGGCCTCATTAATGACAGCCAAGTTGTTATATTACATAAGACCTTCAAATGCGTATACCAAATGTGTATGCCACTAGCATCTTTAGTTAAATATAAAAATATCAACCAAAGCAATTTGAGTTGTCGAGTTGGTCAGAAACCGTCTATAAGTACAAGGTCAATATTACACTGACCCCTTAACCCCAAAATCAATAAGGGTCATCTACTGGCCAAGACCAATGCACCTACAAAGTTTGACGGCCAACAGCTATTGGCTTGTCAAGTTATTGATCGGAAACCGTTTTCACCTACAAGGTTTATGTGATCTTGACCTTTGACTCCTTGACCCCAAAATCAATAAGGGTCATCTAATTGTCAAGTCTATGTACCTACGAAGTTTGGGGGCCAAAAGCTCATGGGTTGTCATGTTAATGACCGTCAACTGTTTTAACCAACAAGATAAATATGACCTTGACCTTTGACCCTTTGACCCCAAAATCAATAGGGGTCATCTAATTGTCATGAGCAATCATCAACCTAAGTTTGAAGTTCCCAGGCCTAAACGTTCTTTAGTTATTGATCGGAAACTGTTTTTATCTTCAAGGTCAATGTGACCTTGATCTTGACCCCTTGACCCCAAAATCAATAAGGGTCACCTGCTGGTCACGAAAAATCATCATACCATGATTAAAGTTCCTAGGCCTAAGAGTTCTTTAGTTATTGATCAGTAACCGTTTTTACCTACAAGATCAATGTGACCTTGCCCTTTGACACCTTGACAACAAAATCAATAGAGTGGTCATCTGCTGGTCATGACCAATCATCTTACCAAGTTTGAGTTATTGAGCCAAAACTGTTTTTACCGACAAGGTCAATGTGACCTTGACCTCATGACCCCAAAATCAATATGGTTCATCTGCTGGTCATGAACAATTATTATACCAAGTTTGAAGTTCCTAGAACTAAGAGTTCTTTAGTTATTGATCAGTAACCGTTTTTACCTACAAGGCCAATATGACCTTGACATACGACCCTTTGACCCCGAAATCAATAGGGGTCATCTGCTTGTCATGACCAATCATCATACCAAGTTTGAAGTTCCTCGGCCTAAGAGTTCCTTAGTTATTGTCCGGAAACCGTTTTTACCTACAAGATCAATGTGACCTTGACCTTTGACACCTTGACACCAAAATCGATAGGGGTCATCTGCTGGTCATGACCAATCATCTTACCAAGTTTGAATTTCCTAGGCCTCAGCCTTCGTTAGTTATTGAGCCGAAACTGTTTTTACCGACAAGGTCAATGTGACTTTGACCTTGACCTCTTGACCCAGAATTTAATATGGTTCACCTGCTGGTCACGAAAAAAAATTATACCAAGTTTGAAGTTCCTAGGCCTAAGAGTCCTTTAGGTATTGTGCGGAAACTGTGTTTAACTACAAGACAATATGACCGTGACCCTTGACCACTTGACCCTAAAATCAATAGGGTTCATGTGCTGGTCATGAACAATCATCATATCATGTTTGAAGTTCCAAGGCCTAAGAGTTCTTTAGTCATTGATCAGTAACCGTTTTTACCTACAAGGCCAATGTGACCTTGACCTTTGACCCCTTGACCCCAAAATCAATAAGGGTCATCTACTGGTCATGTGCAATCACCATACCAAGTTTGAAGTTCCTCGGCCTAAGGGTTCCTTACGTATTGATCGGAAACCGTTTTAACTTACCAAGGTCAATGTGACCTTCACCTTTACCTCTTGACCCCGAAATCTATATGGTTCATCTGCTGGACATGACATATCATCATATTAAGTTTGAAGTTCCTAGGCCTAAGCGTTCTTTAGTTATTTATCGGAAACCGTTTTTACATATACGATCAATGTGACCTTGACCTTTAACCCCTTGACCCAAAAATAACATAGGGTCGTCTACTGGTCATGGTCAATCACCATACCAAGTTTGAAGTTCCTCGGCCTAAGGGTTCCTTAGGTATTGATCGGAAACCGTTTTTACTTACAAGGTCAATGTGACCTTGACCTTTGACCCCTTGACCCCAAAATCTATAGGGGTAATTTACTGGTCATGACATATCATCGTATAAAGTTTGAAGTTCCTAGGCTTAAGCTTTCTTTAGTTATTGATCGGAAACCATTTTTACCTATACGATCAATGTGACCTTGACCTTTGACCCCTTGACCTACAAATCAATTAGGGTCATCTACTAGTTATGGTCAATCACCATACCAAGTTGGAAGTTCCTAGACCTAAGCGTTCTTTAGTTATTGATCGGAAACCGTTTTTACTTACAAGGTCAATTGACCTTGACCTTTGACCCTTGACCCAAAAATAAAAAGGGGTCATCTACTGGTCATGAACAATCATCATACCAAGTTTGAAGTTCCTAGGCCTTAAGGTTCTTTAGTTATCACTCGGAAACCATTTGGTCTACGGACCGACGGACAGACAAATGCAAAGCATTATAGCTTCTCTTCTTTGAAGTGGGGGACATAATAATTTAAAGAAAATTTGTAATATCTCTGTATACAGTTCATTTAACATGATAATTGAGGTAAATAAAGCTACATTAACAACCGTGTATATCCAGAAACGCAGGAATCTGCAAATAACGCAGTCAGTGTGCAAAAGTAACGCAGAATTGTGCAATGCAGTGGCTAAATCGAGCACCGCGATATGTAAATGAACCAGTTTTTTAATTGTACATCAAATTGGAAGAAAATAATTAGCGCATACGGTTGCTGAGACATTTTACTTCCATACTAATCAATAATATTTCCATGAAAATATTTATTTTTCAAGATCATTCGTGAAAATTATGAACGACCTGACTATCGTATTGTTGGCGATTTTTAGTTTTGTTGATATCTTTAAATACATTTTACTTTATAATTTTTTATAATCTGTGTACCTAGACATTTTCCAATCTACTCATGTCATATTACACTTAATTTAGCAGATAAAACGATATTGAAACCATTTTTACTAGGTAACGCTGAATTCGTGAATGAAACACTGAAGCAACGGCGGTTATCTCATTAATAGTAGCTAACTCTTATTTTACCAGCTTCCTTCTATTGTTATACTAAACTTGCAGTTTGACAAATGTCTTAGGTATACAGAATATGAAAAAAATGTTTTACAGTTGTTTTTGTACATATCTATTTAGATAACGAAACACAAAAGTCACCTTCAAAACGGTAACCAGATTGTCTTTCTCAAAAAGGATCTAAAGAAGTAAACATATAACTGAAAAACATTGTAATGCTGGTTAAAGTATAATGTCATAGCAGCCGTATGTGCTAATTCATTTCAGGATAAAATATTTTGGTTCGTTTACTTACTGCGCTATCCGCTTTGGCAATTGTGTTGCACAGATTCGGCGTTCCTTTTACGTTATTTGCACTTTCCTGCGTTACTGGTTATGCACGGTGTTTACGGCATATGGAAAAGCATAAATTCATTACATAACTATATTTTATCAGCAAACGAAAATGGAGGACGTGTTTGACGTAGGTCAATATCAATTTGAAATTGTGTTAAAAAGTAGGAAGTCTGGTCATGAAACCCATTTGCGATTAAAATGCACAATTTATCACGACACTTTTCTGTTTAATCACAGAATGGTTCAACCACAGCAAATTGACCATACTTATTGGCATATCAAATATTTTTTTTTAAATCACGTTGTGATGTCCTATAGGCTAATGTTATAATGTATGTGAGACCACCATAGTATATATGTATGTTGTATGTAATATGATACGGGGACTTCCGGAAAAACATGGAACCTTAGTAAACACGATTAAACAAGAAACATAGTTGTTATCAATTAATATCCACCATTAGGACTTATCATCTGGCGACGAGGATAAAAACAAACAAAACTGAATTACTTATATAATATTTGGATATATTTTTCATGTGTTAATTGATGGATTAAGACGTTTACCATGAACAATTTACCAGCATTACCAAGTTTTGATCTTGAAACGGATAAATCCAATGCAGGCACGCGTTGGGAGAAATGGATTGGGCGCCTCGAAAATTTATTTGTGGGGATGAAAATATCAAACGCTGACCAGAGAAGAGCATTATTACTACATTACGCCGGAGAAAAAGTGTACGACATCTATGACGTAGAGAAAAAGGACAGTGCAGCGACTTATGATGCAACAAAAAAGGTACTTAGCGACTATTTTGCTCCCAGAAAGAACGTTCAAATTGAAATTTACAACTTTAGATCATACAAGCAATTAGAAGCACAAACGATTGATGAATATGTGACTGAGTTAAGAACTTTGGCAAAGAACTGTGCATTCGCAGACATTGACAATGAAATTTTACAACAAGTGATACAACATGGCCGCTCAAATCAACTCAGAAGAAGAGCGTTACGTGAACCAGATAAAAAACTCGATGACATTATTACAATGGGACGTATGTTTGAACAATCAGATATGCAAGCCTCCGCAATGGAAAATTCAGAAAATTCTAGATCTGTACACAAGGTTTCAAAGTTCAATAGTAGAACACGAGGACGAGCGCCGATGCCTCATGGCCGTGGGAACAGTAGAGGGTCGTATGCAAATTTTGGAGGTCGTGGGAAATATGGTCCGAAGAACCAATCGAATCAACGAAGTAGAACACGTGATGGTGCGTCAGCCAATACTTGCAGAAAATGTGGTTATGAATTCCCGCACAGAGATAAGCCGTGCCCAGCCACAGGTAAAACCTGCAATGTATGCAAGAAACCTAATCATTTCGCGCGCTGCTGTTTAGCGCCGAAATATCAGCATGTCAAAGAGGTCAGCGATAACGCCAGCAGTTCGCTACAGTTTGATTCGGAAGAGGAGTACCTCTATAACATAACAGTGAAAAATGTCGGTAAACAAAAAGGATCAAAAACGCCCAAAACACAGATAAAAGTCAACGATAAAACGATTACGGCTACAATAGACACAGGATCAAGTGTGAATATACTAGATGAAACCACGTATGATTACTTAGGAAAACCTAAAATAAAAACAAAAGGGCTGCCAAATTTACTTCCATACGGAGGGGGAAGTGCATTAAACGTAAAGGGCTGTGTGAATTTAACGGTCGAAAAGAACAGAAAATACACAGTAACACCATTTTATATTGTGAAAGGAAACCATGGAGCTCTATTAGGGTGTGAAACATCATGTGAATTAGAAATAATAAAATATAACCAAGGGATAACGGCCAATATGGAAGATAAATATCAAGGAATTTATGACGGTATTGGGAAATTAAAAGGACAAAAAGTTAAATTACACATAAACCGTGATGTAAAACCTGTAGCGCAGAGAAATCGACGTACGCCATTTCATTTAAGAAAGAAAGTTCAAAAGGAAATTGAAAAGCTACTTGAAAATGACATCATAGAAGAAGTTAAAAATGAATCAACACCATGGGTGTCACCGATTGTCACCCCACCGAAGAAAAATGGAGATGTAAGATTATGCATAGACATGAGAGAGGCAAACAAAGCTATTGAAAGAGAACGGCATCCAATGCCAACAATAGATGAACTTATACACGACATGAACGGTGCAAAAGTGTTCAGCAAACTAGATTTAAAAGCTGGATATAATCAGCTGGAATTAGATGAAGAATCGAGATCAATCACTACATTCTCTACACACATGGGCTTATACAGATATATAAACGTTTGAATTTCGGTACTAACTCTGCAAGTGAAGTGTTTCAGAAAACAATCAGTTCTATCATTCAAGACATAGCTGGTGCCAAGAATATTTCGGATGATATAATAGTGTATGGAAACAGTCAAAAAGATCACGACAAGGCACTTGATCAAGTTTTTCATGCATTGCATCGTAACGGGCTGACATTAAATAGAGAAAAATGTGAATTTAACAAGCTTGAAATCACATTCTTTGGAGTTGTATTCAGAGGAGACGGCATTTCACCAGATCCAGTGAAGGTTCGAGCAGTGAGAGACATGCAACAGCCCACAAACGTATCTGAATTGAGGAGTTTTTCTCGAATGACATCGTATTGCTCGAGATTTATAAAGGATTATGCGACAATAACGGAACCATTGAGGCGTTTAAACAAAAAGGACACACCCTGGTCATGGGAAAATGATCAGCAGGTCGCGTTCGAGAAACTGAAAAGAGAATTAAGTAGTGATACGGTTATCACATACTTTAGTCCATTAAAAGAAATTGAGCTAATAGTAGATGCTTCACCAGTCGGTATATCTGGGATACTAACACAGGAAGGAAAAATTATCGCGTACGCGTCTCGTGCACTGACACAGACAGAATCACGTTACTCACAAACAGAAAGAGAGGCTCTGGCAGTAGTATGGTCGTGTGAGCACTATTCGATGTACTTAAGAGGTGCTCCAACTTTCACGTGCTTCACAGATCACATGCCACTGACGAAAATATGGCAGAAGAAACAACCACCATTACGAATTGAACGATGGGGATTACGTCTACAACCATTTAATGTAAAAATTGAATACAGGCCTGGAAAGGATAACCCGTCTGATTACATGTCTCGTCATCCGTTGAAATGTGACGAGCAGAGAAATATAGCCGAGGAATATGTAGCATTCGTTTCCGCACAGGCAGTGCCAAATGCAATGACACTAGATGAAGTAAAAATAGAATCAGTCAAAGATAAAACTATACAGAAAGCGATTGAATACGCAAAGAATGGAAAATGGCATGAAATGAAAACAGTGACAGATTTTAAAATCGACATGGAAGAGCTGGTGGTACTCAGAAGCGTAAAAGATGAATTGACGGTTCACAATGACACGGTCTTATTAAGAAATGACAAATTAGTGATACCGAAAACACTCCGAAATCGTGCGATAAAACTGGGACATGAAGGGCACCAGGGAATTGTTAAAACTAAAAGCTATATACGATCAAAGGTATGGTTTCCGAACATGAATGCAGAAATTGAAACAGCAATACAAAAATGTCTAGCCTGTCAAGCCAACTCAAGGGAACCAAGACCGCGAGAACCACTGAAAATGTCAGATTTGCCATCTGGACCTTGGAAAAATATAAGTGCAGATTTTTGTGGACCTCTAGAAAACGGTGATTACCTATTGGTTGCAGTAGATGAGTACTCGCGATATCCAATAGTGGAAATAGTAAAGAGTGTTTCAGCAAATATGGTCATACCGGTTATGGACAAAATAATTTCAATGTTTGGTGTCCCCAAAGTAATTAAAACAGATAATGGATCGCCATTTAATAGTACGGCATTTGCGGACTTTGCAAAATTTTACGGTTTTATACACAGAAAAATCACGCCTAGGTGGCCAAGGGCTAATGCTCAGGCAGAAGCATTCAACAAATCGTTGATGAAGAGTGTTAAATCGGCATTCATGGAGGGAAGGAATTACAAACAAGAACTGTTCAGATTTCTCCGCCAGTACAGAGCTACACCGCACGTGTCAACTGGATTTACGCCATTTCGGCTAATGTTCGGAAGGGAACCGGTAACGCGTATGCCAGACATTAATCAACACCAAAATGAGGACACGCGTGCAGACGAAATAGCACGAAGAAATGATGAGTTATCAAAAGCAAAATCAAAACAATACGAGGACCAGCGAATGAACGCACGAGAACGAAACATTAACGTCGGAGACAGAGTTTTACTTAGAAACGAAACACCAAGAAAGTCAAGTACAATGTATAATCCAGTCCAATATAAAGTTATAAACAAAAAGGGACCAATGATAAGTGTTCGAAATGATGAAGGACATTGTGTCACCAGGAACTCATCTGTTATGAAAACAGTAGATCCAGACTTAATGGGGAATACGCCTAAACAGCACGGGGAAAGCGATATTGAGGACTATCAGGGGGAGGAACTCGCTGAAAGACAAAACACGAGTTATGCAGCAAGGCCAGCACGAGATAGTCGTCCGCCCGCATATTTAAAAGATTTTGTAAGTTAGATTATTGGTTCCACAGTGAAAATGGGCATAATAAACCCAGTGGTACAAGCAGGTCACGCGATCTGCCATGCGAGTTTAATAAGTGTATACATCATGGATATATTTTATGTAATTAGATTCTCAATAGAAAAATTAATACGTAATAGCGCAATAGTAACATGACACCTTATATACGGCAACATGATTTAAATGACAAGTACATTGAAGTTCTAATATAGTGTGGACATTAACAATGCATTTAACAACAAATATTTAAGAGAAAAATAAACAAATTATCAGATTTAGAACAAAATAAATATTCATGTTTGTATAGTGTAAATGTTCGATATTGCTCATGTAGTGGATATATTTAGATACTGCAGACTATAGTAAAACTGACATAGAACTGACCTACAAACGATTGGAATGTGTCAACAGCCATGAGTGAACATTTCTAGAGAAAAAAAGTTAGGATGAATTTTACAGTTAGATTCATTATATGTATTCCATCGTAATCAAATAATTGTAAGAATAGTTTATCATGTTTAGTAATATCAGTTTACATAACTATAATATAATATTTTCATAATTCATATCTTAATGATTTAAGCATTTTGATTGTTCAATTTAAAACTGATGTTTTATATCTAACTTGAGGAGGGATGTGATGTCCTATAGACTAATGTTATAATGTATGTGAGACCACCATAGTATATATGTATGTTGTATGTAATATGATACGGGGACTTCCGGAAAAACATGGAACCTTAGTAAACACGATTAAACAAGAAACATAGTTGTTATCAATTAATATCCACCATTAGGACTTATCACACGTAATTTTATCTTCACAATTATATGTAGATTTTCTCTACTGTGCATCTTGATTTGTTGTGAAACTACCAAAACATTTTACGTTACAGATTATTACAAGTCATACTTAATATAAGGAATGCTTGGTATTTTGAAATGGTATGAGACATCATCCATTTTGACATTTAACGTCTTATTGGAATAGCAATATTAATATTACTTCAAACTTGTTAAACTTTATTTCTCTTCGAAGATTATTATGTCATGAACGAAATAAAGTAGAACAAAAACATTAAATTAATGCTAGAAAGAAGAATTTAAAATATCCATTTACGTCTACGGTTTAATGTTACTCTTTTGTTTTGTTTTTATTGTGTTCAAGGGAATTATCGTCATGACCTTCAAAGTGCATTATCAGACATGAAAATTGTGTGAAATATGCGACAAACCGACTGATACAAATTCGTAATAATACTTACTGCTTCAAACAGATATCAACATGTGTTTAGTTGATCTAATTGAATCAGACATTTTTATTATAAAACTTGAGTTACAAGTTATTTTAGCAAGTGTATGAAGTTTTATAAAACTTTTCCGTTAGAATACAGACATAAACTATAGTTTGGTTGATTTTCTTTCAGGAATTTGCGCCATCTTTGTTGCTATAGAAAAGTCCAACCCTGTAGAAATATCTGATTGATAAATTTCAAATAAATTAAGATGTAAAAAAGTGTCTGGTGACTATTAGATTGTATCATTTACACTCATTTCAACTTTTCTTTATTAAGCAAGTGTTTTTGTTGGTTTTTTTTTTTTTTTTTTTTTTTTTTTGGTTGTTTTTTTTTTTAATTTAATTTGAAGTTTAGTTAAGACTAAAAGACAAAACAAAAACATACTATAAATGCCTTGTTCATCAATTACTTTTGTTTAAAAAAGCGGCTAGAAAATACAAGCGATTATGACATGTAAGAACAAAACTTGCAGAACAAACAATGATCAGGTAAAGTACATTATGTAAACAAAAAATCGTACGTTAGAAAAAATAACAACATGTGTATACGATGAATAAATATCATTTGCCATGTAATTGAACAAAAATAATCAAGCCAGAATAATGTCAATTACATCATATTCACAAATTCTAAATGTATTGTTAAACATTTTAAAGCAACTTAATAAAAATAGCCATGGCAGTTATGGTATACAGTCAAATAAGTTTTGATAAATCTAACGGTACTTTAGTTGTATTTGGGAATATTCGAAAGTGATTTTTTCTTTCTAGATTTTCAGATCTTCTGATTCCACTTAATTAGGATTAATATATTTTAATTGTCACCACCTGCCTGTTACAAGCATATGTTCTATAAAAAATAATGCGTCACGTTTTTTGTTGTTGTTTTTATTTTTTACATTATGTCAACAAGCCAAGACTGCAACGTTTTTCATTTTTACCTAATGCGGCGGTTTTAACTTCACCGAATTGTCGAGATCGTTACATAAATTTTGGTAAAATATCTTTAAGATAATGGCTCATAAAAGATATACAAATGGACAGAAATAGATGTTATCCGAAACTCGGCAAATGTGGGGGTTGCCCAGCTAATCCGTGGGTACAAGCAAACTTTTACAGTTGCAGCTTCGAAAATACGCGCCACCGATTGACTAGTAGTGCACCGTGAAGCTGTAACGGTAAAAAGTTATTTTTAATTCAGGACTAAGCCTATCATGTTTTCAAATTAGATACTCAATTAAAACTCATATCGCTGAATAGGCTATGTTTGTCGTAAAGTAAAATGTTTACTTTTTAGAAACTAATGATTATTTTTAAAACTGGATAATTAATAAGTGAGATAATTTTACCATTTGCATTTCTTGCATTTTTCAAAATAATAGTTTAGTTCATCATAATTACATTTGCAAGCTTCAAAAAGTGAATGTCTTCTCTTAAATTATGCAACTGTTTTCTGTTTGTCAAATGCGCTCTTCATTTTCCCAAATTTGTTACTTTGATGAAAGAATATACATTTTTATATGTTTTATACAGGTTGTATTAATTAAAAATAGGTTAACCCAACAAATATATGTAAAATATGATATATTGGATGCATGATGTTAATGAGCACATCATTATTTACTTTCCTTCTTCTCCTCCGTAGCACATCAGCAAAGTAACAATATATACTCAACGGTTCATAATGCATTGTGTCTCTGGAACCACGTAACTTTATCATCTCAACTTTATCCACATCTGACACTATTTGTATAACAATAGAAAGGATCTTCACCTGTCATATTCCTATTTGTTTACGGATTATTAAATGTTTTAATGGAAGGTATGAGTACAATTAACTTACAAGATGGACTGAGTGTTGTTTAGATAAAACGTACCGTTCTGTTATCAACCATAATCTGACAAAAAAACATTCTCCATTAAGATAACAAATTGTCTATGCTTTCAATATAATGGAAAGAGGCTAATCTGTAACGTTTTATCCAGTATTAAGATAATAAATAAACAATGTCAGCAAGCACAATAAAAGGTTTTGACCCCACTGAAATAACATTTTCAAGGCAATTCCGTTTGTCCTTTACATATTGAAACGATTCGTCTTTATTGTGATAAAAGTAATCTGACATTGATGAATTGCACAATTTCAAATTAGAGACAGAATATTGGACCGAACCGTAAACAATCCATCTGTATATAAGTTTATTTATGACTCACTCAAAATAGTATTACAAAATGTAAAATGCATGTAAAACTTAGCAGAAAACATAATGTCTGTTTTGCATTCATGATATATATTAATCAATATAGTTTGCAATATAGTTTGTAGTCCGTTTTTATGATGCTATATAATAATATAATGTATAATTATGGGGAAAACTTTGACATTTAATTTTAGTTTTGTCTGATTTGAGTTTGTTTGATACATCGGCGACGCTGCAAAAACTAGGTTATACATCTGAAAGCGATAAAAGTAAATATGTAGTTTATTGTGCGTACTTGATTTCAACGATCCTGCATTATGTTTCATATTGAAAAAATATTAGAAACATTTAATTTCAAAATTTTATGAAAATTATTTTAAGAAAATTGTTTGACGATTATATGTTAATACTTTGTGCATCGAAAACAATTCATACACTAAATTAAATAGCACAGTACATACAATTATGACTGTGCAATCATTTTTAAATAAATATAATTTAAAGTGAAATTGAAATGTTCGCATTGCTGCATACTTCATCTCATTGTCTTGCTAAAATAAAATTATAAATCTTAATTATACATTCTTAACTCCGTCGTGAGAATAAATATTTATCTTATATACTTAGTGAATGAAAATAATGTTCTTATTATCTCGAAAATGTTATTTAATGTGAAAACTGCCTTACATTTGTATACCCCAACATGTTATGTGCGCTCAAAATGTCAGTTTTATCTTTCTGATAGTTAAACGCTAAAATTGTAATTACAATTTTTGCAACAAATTAAAATAGAATCCCAGAAGAAAATTGAAAATATTGCAGGCTATGTTTAGGTTTGATTCCGCAAACCATGAATGAATTAAGCATGGTTGTCGTCGATACGTGTGATATGCATGATCTAATATGATATATCTATATATCTATATATAGCAGACCTGTATTAAATTGTTCACGAGCAAAATATTATTTCTCATCAAATAAATTTTCATTCTTTTTCCCTCGTATCGTCTCGCGAATTTGGTAAAATTTTAGAGCATACATTTTTTTTCGTTTCCGGCAAAATTATAGCAGACGAGATTTTAGAAATTTATGATATTTTTCTGTGAGATGGAGCGTTTTCTTATAAAATCACCTAATGCTAAGCCTTCCAGTAAAGTAGAAGAGTCTCCCCTAAAAAGAGTAAGAAAGATTATGACAAAAAATATTATACTTTGAAAAGAAAACGTGCTTTTCAAGACGCTTGGTTAAAAGAATTCCCATGGCTTCGAGCCGATGATAAAGGCGCAGGTACCTGTAAAATTTTCCGGCAATTTCCTATGCTTGACGACCAGAAATGTTGTTTTTATATTGATCAAATTATTAGTAGAAAAGACACGCTGTATGCTCATGAAATAAGTGTAAACCATGCATCGTGCAAGCTGAAATCTGACAGAGAGAAACTTAAAAATACCAATACTAAATTTGAGGGGGATTTCGATAAGACCGTACAGAAATAC